AAAGGTTTTAAAGTCAAGATTTTCTCCTTTTCTCTAACGGAAGATTAACAACTACGGATTTTGTGCATTTGAAACAATAATTTGGATGATGCAAACAAAACTCACAAAAATTTGGACCAAATTATACAAAGGATCTGATATACTACGAAGCCACTAAAGGCCTCAGATAATTCTTGAGATAGGTGTATTCAAACAGCAGTGTAAAAATAAATGTCTCCCTACTCCACTCAGTGTCATAGTATTTAGCCATTTCTTACCATTCCTTTCTTTTTAATGAATTCTTAATACAGTCATGTATGTCTCGCTGAAACTGCTGCACAGAGAAAGGAATATTCTCCAGATAAAAATCTATGGTCATATTCAGCTTTTCCCACAGGATCACAGAATCACAGAATGGTGTGGGTTGAAAGGGACCTTTAAAGGTCATCTAGTCCAATCCCCCTGCAATGAGCAGGGACACCTTCAACCAGATCAGGTTGCTCAGAGTCCTGCCAAATCCGACCTTGAATGTTTCCATGGATAGGTTGGAAGTGACTTTCAAAGACCATCTAGTCCAACCCCCTGAGTTAGAGCAGAGACATCTTTCACTAGATCAGGTTCCTTAAAGTCCCATCCAGCCTGACCTTGAACATTTCAAATGATGGGTCATCCACAACTTCTTTGGGCAACTTTTCTCCAAGCATTTCTTCAAACTCCCTACATTTCCAATAGCACTACCTGTAACTCTTCTACTGTATTTCCGTCCCTTACTTCATCTGCAATACACAAGCCTCAGAATGAAAACTGAAAACTGGTAGCTGAGAACTTATCAGACCAATGGACCAGAGACTCTTAGTCTCACACAACATGTATGTCTTAACACAAAATCATTCTGCAGTTGATGCACACAATTCTGCAGCAACTTTGTTCCAGAGATAAGGGGGAACGCTGATTTGACAGAGTTATGGGAAGTACAAATTGCTAGCGTGTGCGTGAGAAGCTCTTTCACACTATCAGCACTTTTGAAAGAGGCAGGGATCAAAGGATGTTGTGTTATTTTGCAGTAAGCAGAAAAATAATGAGTGGTAGAAAGCCAAACAAAAAAAGGGAAAATTAAAATTGCCCTCTAACACTCTGTCACAGTCTGGTTAACCCCTGTAGCTAAAATCTGATCGTTCTATTTCACTGTGCATAAAAAATTATATTTGCCTTTCCTTCATTTGAGAAGAGCAGGCATCAAATTGGAAGTAATACAGGAAAGATTTTAGACATTATAACATACCAGAAATAGAAGAAAAAAGACCATTAGCATGAATGGGCTCTTCCTTGATCTGTTGCCATTCTTGTCATGGCAAATGAATCTATCCAAAGAGTCCCTCAGCCATTGTCCCACATGGATTCAGATAGACATGGAAAGTCACCACTGAACATCTTGTTTTATTCTCCATGGGTGGTTAGAAATAAGAATGCTGTAGTTATTTAGGTGCAACAGAATTCCAGTCTACACACATGATATCCAATGGAGTTATTAAAGAAAATAAAAGCCGTACTAAGCACTGACAAGCACAATATTCCATCACATTGTTTTGCCTTCACTGCATCTCCACTAAAAATGTCTAAGATATATAGCTTGTGTTTGGTAATAAAAATGAAAAGTAGAATTGTCTTTTATTAGTTTCAGCCAGAGACAGAAACACAGCTAGCCAATTCAATTTTGGAAAAAAACCCCATGTGTTCATTTATTTTAACTACAACTAGATATAAGAGGATAACTTTGCTTGTTCAGTGTCCTTCTGCTCACCTAATTTGAAGGACAAGCATCTCATTTATACGCCAACACATTACAAAAAGGATTAAATAGAGGTTCAATCCTGCAAACTTCTGCTCATTGGAATAATCTCAACTATAAAAGCTGAAGCCCAGAGAATAATCTTCTGATAGCATGTTTTACAGCTAGAAAAAGAAATTCCTTTTGTTGCTTTTCTTTGCAATATTTTAAATACAACAAAATTTCAAATAATGCATTTTAAAAAGACATTTATGATCTGATACCATAAAAAGGAACCTATTTGATGAGTCTAGCAGTCACAAATTATAACAATTTAAATGTAGTTTAAAGGGTAGTTTTACTTATGAAAACTTCAGGCCAACATTTTATTTTTCATCTTTAAGGCTTCCTAGTATTACTAAATAGAAGATGAAGGGGTATATTCCTTTCTAATAGTTCTTTGTCAGAAACAATGAGACCTGAACTTTATATCTTGGACATAATACTCAATAAAAAAATAAAAATCACAGCTCCAGTTCACTTTGTTAAATTTTTAGGGTTTTGTGCTCAATTTTTTGATGGACTTAACTTTTTAAATATTCAACACATTTTAATTAATATATGTATTAATTATTTTAATTTTAAATATTCTGCAATTCTTGAGCTAAGTAAATCATAAAATGAATAGTGCTATGCTTAGAATTTAGTTGAAAGCAAACACGAATTAAGCCAGATGCACGAAGCCAATGAAACTGTAAAGAAGAGAGAGTGGCTTGAGGAATCTGCTACCTCACATTTCTACTCATTATTGCAACACTTGATCTTCGGGAACATTTTCTGACTCTAAATCTGTTAACTTACATGCTTTTTGCGCAATGTAATTAATGTAAGAATTAGGAATGGACTTTGAACTTGCGTAACTGTTATTCAGTAAAATACACTGTAGAATTATGTTAGAAAAAATATATTTTAAATCTGAAAATTATTATGACATCTTCAGAAAGGCTAGAAAATATTGGTTTTCAACCTTAATATGCTAAGGAAGATATGGAAACAATTTCAACAGGCACTACTCAAGAGAAGTAGGAAATAAGCCATCAATTTTTTAAGTATCCTGATAAGACCTGAATTACCAATAAATCAAAATTTAAAAGTTTATAGTTGCAATAATTTTTCCACATTATTGCTATTACCACAGCAATGAAATTCTGGGAAATTTGAATTATTTTTGAGTTCATTGTCTTCTGACAGCGTCTGATAGAGTATGTTCTGAATACAACATGATTTCAGACAATAAGATATTTATGATTTACTATTAAGCATCCAGAAATATTATTTCTCTGGCATACGAATTTAAGTCATGGACCAAGAAATCTGTTTCATGTTATACACCTTTGTGTTTATGTACATCATCTAGCTAACTAACAAATGATGTTCTAAATATTTAAAAAAAAAAAAAAAAACAAAAAACCCAAAACCAAAACCTACTAAAAATGCAGAAAAGACAAAATTTCAAAAGTTTTGCACGTCAGTGTTTACATTTCCTGTCCT